AGGCTCAGGTGGGTGGATCATCTGAGGTCAGGAGTTCTAGACAAGCCTGGCCGACATGGTGAAACCCCGTCTCTATTAAAAATACAAAAATTAGCTGGGCGTGGTGGTGCATGCCTGTCATCCCAGCTACTCAGGAGGCTGAGGCAGAAGAATTGCTTGAACCCAGGAGGCAGAGGTTACAGTGAGCCGAGATCGTGCCATTGCACTCCAGCCTGGGCGAAAAGACCAAAAGTGTGTCTCAAACAAAAAAAAAAAAAGAAAAAAAAAGTTGACTTTTTTTTTTTTTCTGAAATTCAAACCCAATGTGCAAAATAACCAAACTATTAGGATGCCTTTTATTTTGGTTTCTTGGAATGACCACTGTTAATAAAAATGTTTGCTCTTTTAATTTATATATAAAAAGGAATATTCAGGTTTGCTTGATGTTCTGCAAATTTTGAATGACTCAAACATATTATGAGTGTTCTTTTGGTTACCAAGCTTAGAATAACATAAAAAACTGACAAGTCAAAAGAAAAAAAATTTTTTTAGGTTATTTGTAATAAAATGATGTGTACTTCTAAAATTAAAAAAATCTTGTTTATTTTATAGACTGGCATATAACTGTTAAGACCTTGATTATAAAAAAGAAAATGTCTTTGTCATTTATCAGTTGGTGACATTCATAATATACTTTATAGGGTAAATTAAAGTTCCTGGGGATTTGTTAGTGCCCTCCTTAACTCTCATGACAATTCTCCTTCTCTTACTTGAGAAGGGAGTGTTTGTGATCATCTGACCTGTTCTAGGGAACTGTCCATGCGTTTTATAGATATTTTGGAAAATTCTTTTTAAAATATTGATGTTTCGGCTGGGCGCGGTGGCTCAAGCCTGTAATCCCAGCACTTTGGGAGGCCGAGACGGGCGGATCACGAGGTCAGGAGATCGAGACCATCCTGGCTAACATGGTGAAACCCTGTCTCTACTAAAAAATACAAAAAACTAGCCGGGTGAGGTGGCGGGCGCCTGTAGTCCCAGCTACTCAGGAGGCTGAGGCAGGAGAATGGCGTAAACCCGGGAGGCGGAGCTTGCAGTGAGCTGAGATCCGGCCACTGCACCCCAGCCTTGGCGACAGAGTGAGACTCCGTCTCAAAAAAAAAAAAAAAAAAAATATATATATATATATATATATAGATATAGATTTTCTTGTTAATAATTAATGTTTAGAAATGTAAACTAGAATTTTTCAAGTATTCTATGCTATCACGATTCTAAATTTACTGTTGGTGTATGACCTTCTCCCATAAGTTAAATTAGCTCAAGTGGCTGAATAGTTCTCCTTCATTCAGCGAAGGAGAGATTAAAAGAGGTAATATTTCTGAGTGGTGGAGGGACCTGCTTAAAAAAAAAAAAAAAAGCAAATATTTATATAGGCAGTAGATATGTAATGAGTTGCTCCATATCAGAAAACTTTGGAAATTAAGAGGTTTTTCTGACCTCTTGTGGAAGTCTCATTAAAAATGGCAAGAAATTAAAGAACTTTTAGAAGCTTTGCTGTTACCTAAGGGGGTAGCCATATAATAAAATGGAGATTCATTCAAAGTCTGATAACCCGGAATCCTGAGGAAATAATTTACCACCATGCTAAACAAGTAGCACTAACCAAAGCAGTTGCCATACTGATGGTTTGTAAATACATTCTAGTCATTGTCTGCTTATCTCCAGAATGGATTGAGGATATTCCTGATAGACAGCCAAGGTTTTGCTGATAAAATTGCCTGACTGTTATTCTGGACTTAAGGAATTCCAACGTGTTCTTCAGTGATTGGGTGGTGGGGGTGTGTGTGGCACACGTTTCCCGTGACTGTTATAAAAAAAGCTCCAAAATGCCTTTTAACAATAATAAACACACTTGCTGTACCAAATGAATATTTAGAACAATTAGAAAGAAAAAAAAAATGAATTCTAACACTAAATTTGAGAATGCTCTGCAAGACTTGAACTTCCATGGCTTGGGAATTGCTAATTAGCCTCAATGGCAATATCAACTCCTTCTGGGATCCATAGGCTACTCCATGCAGTTAGAAATTCACTTCTTGAACCTGTACTCTGCCATATCACAAGCTCACATTTCTAAATACTACAAAGGATTCATTTGATGCATCTAGCTTTTAATAGGTAACAACAATCTTCCCCAAATATCCATCTAATTAGTCTCTGTATGACTAGAAATCTGAAGATTTAGTCTTTTGGAAAAGACTTCTAAAAATCAGAGGAAAAACTACCCTTGTCCTCAATGGAAAGGAATTCACTGAGGAACCATAAACTGAGGATTCTTAAGTATCTTCCAGAAGAATGATCTTCGGAAGAAGACGACCAAACCAATATCTTCAGATCAAGCTGTTGATGATACCAAGTAGACACTTTCACCCAAGACAATAAAACAAGATACATGTTCTGGTATCTTTGCCTTCCTTTAAAAATTTTGCTCTGGTTATCAAAGTGCCTAGTTGTCCCCTAGAGGCCAACAAACAGTTTTTAAGATTCTTTCACAAATTATATTTTATCTTAATCTTCTGTAGTACAGAATTTCCATGCCACCTAAGGAAAGGCAAAACTTTCTTGTGCTTTTTTTGCAGACTATAGCTATTGTTTTTAAATTTTTATCATTATATTTTAAGAGACAGGGTCTTGCTCTGTCACCCAGGCTGTAGTGCTGTGATACTAACTCACTGCAGGCTCAAGCAATTTTCCCACCTCAGCCTCCCGAATAGCTGGGACTACAGTTGTACAGCACCTCACCTGGCTATTTTTTTTAGTTTTTAGTAAAGACGAAGTCTTGCTTTGTTGCCCGATCTGGTCTCAAAATCTTGGCTTATCCCCCACCCCCAACCCCCTGCCCTGGCCTCCCAAAGTGCTAGGATTACAGGCATGAGTCGCCACTCCCCGATTTATTGTTTTAAATCTAACTGACTAATGCAGTTTTTATCCTCTACCTGATTCTACTAACAAAAATTTAATAGGTATTCAACACTTCAAAAGGTAGATTTTCTTCTATACGTTTCTTCTGGAATTTGAATTTTCTTGACAGTATTAATTTTTACCTTCAGCTTTATCAGTATTGAACACTGACCTGAAACAACAAAGGATGTCTGCTGACATTATTGCAATAATGTATTGAGTCTCTCCTTGCAGTGCTAGTCCTTAATCTTCAGTGACTCCCCAGCCTCCACTCAAGCTATGTTCACATGTTGAAGAATTAATTGTCCTGCTCTCACTGTGATAAATGACACTTACACACCCCATACCCCTTTCAGTTTGTGCAGCACTAAGGCACTACTTTTTATGTGGATATCAGGTCACCTGATCATTATACAAACTTATCTAGTGTAATATGGAGTGAGCTTTAGACTATTATATTAATAATATTTTTCAATATTTTAAACATCTACTCCTATAGGAAATGATGTTTCTCTGAGAAAGGTACCCAGACCTAAAATGAGGCAAGTATGGACTATTCAGGAGACCTTCCAGGAGAGATGACCGACTCCCTCTTCATCTATACTCTGGGAGCTCCAATTCCAGTAATAGGAATAATATGACTAGAAAAGGTGATCCAAAATCTGTCTCTGGTCCCAGCAGAAATCAATAGATGACACTACTTCTTTTCTGGAGGTCCAGCAACCTAGCTTAAAGTTTCATGGTGGTTTTGAATGATTTCATAGTTTTTGGTTTCTTCTTGGCTAGCCAAGGACAGCTTTTGTTTGATAGCAAATGCTGTTTGCAGCACCCACCTAAAACATTACTGTTCAGGCAGAACAGTTTTATGGCAAAGTTAAAAGACTACCTGTCTCTCTAGAACAGATTCAGATGGAGTTGGGACATGATTTCGTGGTCTGGTTTTGAAATCTAGTTATTTGTTTTTGCAACCTATTGCTAGGATTAATAGCTATTTTGTTTCCATTACTTACCTGAATTTCACTAGTACATCTTGTTCAGCCTTAAATGCTACTGTGCAGTCATTATACATTCACTATATATCTTTTGCAAAAAATGTACATGAGGGACCAACTGTATGCAGATGCAGAGAACGTTCTCCGGATAAACTTGTGACAAGTGGATTCTGACAGTGGTGTAGATCTGAACCCCCAAAGTCCTGATGGCTGACTTTGTCTTTGGTCAAAAGGGGAGGCTGAAGAGTGAAAAAGCACCTAGGAACTTGTAGTTGGGAGCTGAGAGGCATAGTTGAATCTTCCCTTCCAAACATAAACATCTCCTGCTAAATATTTTAACCAGTCAAGGTTGCTCAGTGATTGTCACGCAACAAGATGTAGAAAGTCCATCTGTAACTATATTTGAAACCAGAGAGAGAGAACATTCTGCAATGAAGACCACATTAATCTCTTTACTTCCCTTCCTAGATAAATTTACCAGGATCATCACCAAATTGCCCCATTTTAGAAAACTGGCCCCTACTCCCTAAACACTTCTTAGATTCACCTATTCAACTTCTACAATCAGCTCCCTACAACACTCTTCTGTTTGTGTAAAGTTTATTTTCCTATGTTGTTTGCTCTCCCTTGATGTAGCACACCAAACTCCGTCTTGTTGGAATACACCATGTGGTCATTGGGTGATTGCCAGCACCTGTGCAAATCTAGGGAGCCCATTTGGAGACTTCCTGCACCTCTATCTTTCAACCCCTGCCCTGGTTCATACCCAGTAGATCTGCTCCCAAATCCTTTGGATTTAGAGTGAAGAAATATTTTGATTCTGGGGCATTAGAAAGGCAAGCACTAATCAAATAAGATTAAGTTTGGCATGAAAGGATTAAGCTCAGAACAGATAATTACTTGGAATGAATTATCTTGGGAAGAGCTACCGGGATTGTACACTCACCCTAAGGTAGTTCAAGGGGCAGGTTGTTGGGTTCCTATGTTAAGGACAGAGCCTAGGCCCTCCCTCACTTTTCCAAGTCTTTTGCTAACCAATTTCTTGGACTTGTCCTTATTCTGTATCAGGTCGGAGCAGAGCATGGACATGGGAACTAGTGCTCTCAGCAAGAAGCCGTGGTGGACCCTGCCTGAAAACTTTCATGCTCCAATGGTGTTCCACATGGAAGAGGACCAGGAGGAGCTCATCTTTGGTGAGAGGCCCTTGCTAACGTCCCCGCCTTAATCCTTGTCTTCTCAGTTTTCAATCTTTTCCTCCTTTTCCACCTTCATCAGTCACACGTCCGTTCCCCCAAGGCCACCTCCCGACTCCCCAAGGGCTGGTGCTTGACAGACCCTCCTCTCACCTCTTATGCTCACAGGGCACGGTGACACATACCTTCGCTGCATTGAGGTGCACAGCCACACCCTTATTCAGCTGGAGAGTTGGTTCACAGCTACAGGCCAGACTCGTGTGACTGTAGTCGGACCACATAGGGCAAGGCAGTGGCTGCTGCACATGTTCTGTTGCGTGGGGAGCCAGGACTCCTATCATCATGCTCGAGGTAGGTATTCTTGGCTGAACTGTGGTTTTGGACTTGGTGGTGGAGTTCTGGCTAAGTTGTGTGGTATCTTGGATTCTTGAAGAATCCCTTTGTGGCTGGGCAATCCAGGTACTTCCCAGAGTCCATTGGTAAGAAAAGTGCTCATTTGTTTGTGGCATGAGATTGCTTAAGGTGGAGAAGGTAGCTGGGAGGTGTAAATGGGTTACCTTGGAAGGCCTGGGCTGGGGTGACATCCTCCCTGCAGCCTCCCTGATGGAGTCCAGGCCCGCCAATGGGCCCTAGTTATGGGCCCTGGTTCATTAGCCCTGGGCACATCTTTTGCAGGCCTGGAGATGCTGGAACAAGTCCGAAGCCAGCCCCTGACCAATGATGACCTGGTCACTTCCATTAGCGTGCCACCGTACACTGGAGACCTGTCTTTGGCTCCCAGGATAAGTGGAACCATCTGTCTTAGCGTTCCTCAGCCTTCCCCTTACCAAGTGATTGGTTGTTCGGGATTCCATTTGAGTTCACTGTATCCGTAATTAAGGACTGATCTCCTCTGGGAAGCGGGGATGAGAGGAGAAGTCTTGGCTTCGCTTTTGGTGAGAAAGACATGAAAGACACTGAAGAAAGTTTGAATTTGTGGCTGGGACCTGTCCCTCAGGTCTTGTAGACGTGTGTCTGAGGGAAGTCTCCCGAATGTAAGAAAGTGTTATTGGCAAAGCAATCCAATAAAATAAGCTACGTATGATGCAAAGCCTTCGATGTGCTGTCCTCTTTCCTTAGGATGAACTTATTCACCCCAGGATTTTCCTGGACCTTCAAGTGCACACAAATGGGGAGAATGGAAAGGTGGGAGGAAGGGTCCAGATAGAGATGGAAAGTGTTCCCACCCCAACTACCTGGTGAAGTGGGCAACCAGGGAATCTGGTGAACATGAGGTAGCCAGCATTGTCCCTGATTGCCCAAGTTTGTGGGTGGGGGTGGAGGAGGTGGTTTTCAGGGAGCAATGGGTTTTGAAGTCCCTCATGCCATGAATTAAATATGAAGGATTCCTGAAACTCCATTGAAGAACGTTTTCTGATTGCCAAGTCTATATATGGATCTCTCTAGGCAAGATTATGGCAAGCTAAACCTGTCCTCAGTAGAACTCTTCCTCTTCAAATTTGCCCCTTCTCCAGCAGCCTGTATCTTAATAATGAGGCAATTGCAGTACCCTAGGAGAGTGACGATGGTGACTTGGACCAGAGTGGAGTGGCTGAAGTGTTAGGAAGTGGTTGAATTTGGAACATAATTTGAAGCCAGCAAGATTTACTAATTACATGGTTTTCACAAGGCCAATTGCCAAATAAAAGTTAAAATATCATATTCACAGTAGAAAAACACTTAGAGAAAATGTTGAAAGAATTCAGGTTATAGTAGTCGAACACTATGGCTCATGCTTGTAATCCTAGCACTTTGGGAGGCCAAGAAGGGCTCAGGTGTTGGAGGCCAGCCTGGGTAACATGGTGAAACCCTGTCTCACCCAAGAACACAAAAAATTAACCTGGTGTGGTGGCACACACCTGTCATCCCAGCTGCTTAAAGTGGGCACTGGGGTTGCAGCATTGCTTGAGCCTGGGAGGCGGAGGTTGCAGTAAGCCAAGATCATGCCACCACACTCCAGCATAGGCGACAGAGTGAGACTCTGTCTCAAAAAAAAAAAAAAAAATTCAGGTTTATAGACTGTCATACAGACTGCCAAAATAAATTGTCTACACATAATGGCCACTTTTTTCTTTCTAGAAGTGAATTGTTCAGTTAGTCCTGAGGCGTAGCCCAGTGCCTTAATAATTATTTGTTGAAAAATGAATGAAAGTCTTTTTAATGGCTAGGAATGTGTTCTGATATTGAAATAAAAAGAACCTGTAAAGGAGTGAAGCACATTCTAACTTGCTAGGCATAAAAAGATAAATGTATATCCCTGACCTTTGGACAATAATCAACATTGCTTTTACTAAAAATTTCCTAGGGAAAAATCTCATGATTGTCAAGGGTACCAT